ATCCATCCATCCATCCATCATCCATCCATCCATCCATCCATCCATCCATCCATCCATCCATCCATCCATCCATCCATCCATCCATCCATAATTTGCAAATGCTTCAATGTTAGGAAATTCTGTAGAGATCCCAACTTTTCTATGCGTGTGTCATTACAGGACGAAATGGTGAACAACACAGAACTGGTTCAAAGCTACCGACAACAGATAACCAACTCCATCAACCACCACAACCTGCAGCTTTTCTGGAACATGTACAACAGGTGAACCAGCAAAACCAACAATGTTGATTTTAGTTTGGGAGATGACACAACCTTATGATAACAGGGAGGGTCGAACTCACACTGTTGTCTTTTTGTTTTTCTCCTCTTTCAGCCGGAGGGACCTGGACATGAACCGCGGAGGAACAGCGATCAACGCTAAGACCTTGAAGTGAGTTTTTTTTAAACTGTCTTTACGGTACAGCCTCATACATGGCTTCATACGTTTGAAAATATTTCTCTTTTCAAATGTGACATATCACTGGTTTGGTTTCTTTGTTCAAAACAATTGCAGAAAACATCATAGTACTATACTGTTCAAGTATAGTCAAAATAATCCAACAGAACCAGAAGGATTATCCTAAATACTGATGCTTTTCTGCAGGTGTCCAGTGATGCTGGTTGTGGGAGATAATGCCCCTGCTGAAGAGGGAGTGGTGAGTCCTACATCATACTCACTAAAAGAAGTGAAATGTTCTTTCAAATTGGTTAAAGGATATTATTTTATATTGTTTAAAGGGATCTTCTGTATTTTAGGTTTGTTAGCATAAATTTTACTTTACATGAAAAAAAATCCTGCAGCATCATAAGGAAGGTTGCCATCACAATGCGGTCTTCGTACTGTAGAAAGATTACAAATGGAGACAATTATAACTTTAGGAGAGTCTAAATTCTTAGATTTGTTAAAAATCAACCATGGTATAAGGTCTGCTGTACATTCATGGTTCAGACTATCATATTTTTAAATTGAAAGTATAGTGGAGGATTTTCGGGAATTTTTGAAAAAAACCTGCCCTCTCCACTTGAAAAAAAAATATGCACATGCATCACCCTGTACCAGCTCCCGAGAGGGAACGCCTATTAAACGCGTGCGAGAGCGTGCATGAGCCCATTTCTTCTTGTGCACACTTTTTTTAAAAGTTGCTTTTTGCATCGCTCATACAAGCTTACTTTCCAAAAGATTTGCAATTTTTCCACTATGTCAGACTCACCGACGGTAAGTGAAAATGGAGACGAGCACGTAGGACTGCCTTACGTAAACACATCACCAGAATGATTGACAATTAGGAGGACCACTGATTTTGATGATCCACCTGGAAAAAGAAAATCCTCCACTATATATTTAATTAAAAGGAGAAAGATCAGTTTAAATAAAATCAGATTTATCACAGTGATTACCAAAAACAACAAAAATAGCTTAATTTTCTTGCTTCATTATAAGGCACTGACATCCCATGGCCTAATTTCAGATTGATTTGGTGGATCTGACCACACTGAAATTATTTTAAAAAGGTTTAATATATTTAATAAAATGAAAGAAAGTGGTGATATCAAGGAAAAGTGATGTGTCCCTTTATCCCCTTCTTTTCTGTGGTTAAATCCATAGGGCTGATAAAATAAAAATAAAAAAGGTTTGCAAACACTTATCTTAGAAAAAAGAAACCTTCCATCTCTTTGATTTAGTTTGTCGTTTGTGATATTTCTGGGAAGTGACTTTATGTAGATGTCATTTATTAAGACCAGACTGCTTGGATGAGACTTAGACATAATGACACCTTCGCCGTCTCACTTTAGACTTTTCTCAAAAACCCCCTAACCCTTACCCTTCCTGCCCTCCCCAAACCTCTTTACCTGTGGTCAAAATGACGTTTTTTTTCTAGAATTCCAGTCACAGGCCTCCTAAAATGGTTCTGGCTGGGAATGGCCTGTAGGCCGCCCTTTGAAAGCCTCTTAATCATACGTATCAAAAGCTACCACAGGGCTGTTTCATCAGCAATTTCCTTATTTAGGAAAACCTGTCGACATGACTCCGAGTCAATAAATAACTTTCTACCTGAGGCTCCAGGCAGCAGTCTCTCCCTCCTCATTCTTCCTCCCTGCACTGTTCTGTGTTTGGTTCTTGACATGCTAATTCAGTCAGCGACTGTTTGTCCTCATTCAGGTAAACAGAAACAGGTCAGCCAACAGAGACCTGGTTTCCTGACAGCCCCTCCAGGAATGCTGTCCATCTGTGTCCCTTTATGAGCATGATGCAGGTCTGCAGTAGGTGTGCAGATTCGTGTGAGTGTTTTCTCCAGGGGACAGATGGCCTGGCTGTGTCTCTGGGGTTTCCTAGATTGAATTGGCCCAGATATGCACGCCCTTCTGCACCACTTAATCTGCAGCATGCCCAGATTTAAATCAAACACTTCCTCTTCTCTCAGATGGTGTTTTAAAACCCTCCTTCAGAAAGGAAAGTAGAGCAATGAGGAAGAGGAGTTTGAAGAAGAGGAGGGATAGAAAACAGAAGCTGCTTTATAGGTTCTGACAGATGGAGGTCGAGTTTAATATTTCCCGTTATAGAAACTGGATTACATGCATCTTGCCTGTGTTGTTCACAGCTTGTGAAGTAACTTAGGAGAAATGTTATATACATGTATACAGAGACAATTACTCAGCTTTCCAATATATATATATATATATATATATATATATATATATATATATATATAATTTGTTTTTCCTGTTCTTCTCCTGTAGCCTGACTGCAACTTTCATTGGCACATTTCATTTGTCAGTTGTATGTTGTTTTAAGCAGTAATATGTGTTGCTTAGCAATTAGCATCACAGATTAAACTCAGATCAGCAAAAAGAGCTGTAATTTAAATGATGTTCACTTTGTTTGAGTCTGGTGGATTATGCGTGGTCCACATCTGTCTAATTTATATGTGTAAGCACTGCGGCTCAGCCTGTGGTGACCAGACTGACTCATCTCTGCAGCACACTGCAGCATCTGGGTCACTCATTTACAAGCAGAAGCTAAAGTCATTGCGAAAGCAATTAAAGGAGCACCTTTTTATGTACATAATATTAAAAAAGGAGAACAAACACACACATCTGTTGTAATAAAAAACAACCTGGAACTGGTTGATATCCAACACTATCACAAGACTAATGTTCTATGTAAACTGTAGGGATATCCTTTATAGAAATATTCTACAGGGAACACCTGCATTTCCCTGCAGCGGCCGTTCAAGATTTTTAAAAGGCAATTCAATATCTAAAATGGCAACACTTCCACTTGAATCCCTCGACTCCTTAGATAAAACCGCTTTGGAGTGACTCAGCACATAAAAAGGAACTTTCCATATGTAAACCCGATATTTCCCCTGATGCTAATTATATTAATTAAGCTTAAGAAAACTGAAATGGGAAGACTCACCTGAATCACCCCCTGACATGTCAGAACCAAGCTGCAGCCAGTTGATGTTGGGACCCAACCACTACGAAGCCAATCATTCCTCAAGATCCATCTTATAAAACTCATCATGCTGAATTTAAAACCTTTCATCCACTGGTGAAATCATCAATCTCTTTCCCTATCCTGTTATTCTTGCAGCAGATCCACATTTTTATAAGAATCACATGGGAATAGAACTGGATTTTATCACTTTAACAAGCCCGGAAAATGGCAGAGAGGCAGTGCTGAGGCTCTTGCAGATTGAGAGATGTACAGTGTTCAATGTCCAAGAGAGCAGATCTTTGGGATGCTCCAGCCTTTAAACTGACTGGACTCACATCCTATGAGTGCTTCCTTAGAGAATCATCCATTCATCCATTATCTGTCACGCTTTTATCCTAAGTGGGGTCGTGAGGGGTGCTGGTGCCGATCTCCAGCTCTCTACGGCGAGAGGCGGGGTCCACCCTGGACAGGTCACCAGTCCCTTAGTGAATCAGTGGAACAAAAACTATATGTGTGCCACAATCGGTCTTGTTTGTTCACAACCAATGTTTCCTATTTACCCTTTCCCCATTGTTATGTGAACTTTGGATGAAACTCAGAGGAACGATGTGTAGTAACTCTTCACCACCCAATGTTTTTAGTCATTAAAGAAGCTACAAGGACTCATGTTAGCATGAAAATATGGTAATCTGTCTTACAAGCCAAGGCTCAACAAGGAGGAATTGTCTTAAAGTTCTGTTATTGACTTTGTTTTCAAGGTTGAGTGCAACTCCAAGCTGGACCCGACCAACACCACCTTCCTTAAGGTAACTTAACATCTTTATTTTAGACAGCTGGTGTCTGCAAAATAGTAATCAGAAATTGTTTGAAGCCAACATCAAAGAGAAGTAAAAAGAAAAATGCAAAATTACAAAAAGTGAACTAAATTCTCATAATAGGAAAAGAAATGGGGAAAGAAATCAAAACCACACACCCAATACAAAAATATGACCCCTAAATATAAACAGAATAAGAACTCAGAAAAATCCCACCTTGTATGAGCTTTAACAGTGCTGCTGGAGGACTTAAAACCCAGTTAAGAGGCAGAATTATTCACATGATTTAGCATATTGCACAACAAGGTTCAAATAATTCTACTAAGTTTGGAAAAAAAGTTAAATTGCAGACATGCCTGTATATGTCCCCATAGGCAAAAACACCACAACAAAAATTCAATGTGCATAAGATTTTCCCCTTATTGATAAAGTGACTAGGTCACATTTTAATAATGATCTCCTTCAACAATCATTTTTTCTCTAAATGCTGTATTTTCACTCTAAGAAAATTAGCTAATAGCCAAATTAGCTTATATTTTTTGGATATATGCTCTCAAAAAGGTGCTCCAAAATGTATATGTAACAGCATTTTGAAAAACAAAATGAATTTGGTGAAACATTAATTTGGTTCAGTTAAATAATTATTCTTAGGAGCAGAATCAATCTTGGTAACAATCTGTTTTAAAGTAGGTTGGGTAACAATATGATGTCATCTGCATAAAGGAGCAGTTTTACTGCTAAAAGAATGGAAACTAAATGGGCAAAATTCCTTCTTATTTTAAATTTCTTAAAAGCATTCAGCTGAGGCTGCTTCTTTCTCATCTGTTGCAAAGAAAGTTCTAACATTTTTCAATTCTTGAACTTTAGTGTTAATGCTGTTTTTTTTTTCTATGGTAGATGGCGGACTCTGGTGGACTCCCACAGCTCACACAGGTAACATCCAGTTACTTGGCTGCCCTCCAATACAATCCTTTAAAATAAGCTTCAGACAGACAGTGAAGGCAGCATATAAATGTGAGAGAATAACAAATGATGCGTTTCGTTTCAGCCAGGAAAGCTGACTGAAGCCTTCAAGTATTTCTTACAGGGAATGGGCTACAGTAAGTACCTTCAGTTTTACCAATTTCAGTCAGTAAAAGTGAGTTGACAAAAAAATGTGTAGCATAACTGTCTTGTGAAAATGATGTTTTCATTCAGAGGGACTTGAATTGTTAATTTTGCCCTCTGTCTTCCTTGCCCCGTTCTTTCAGTCGCTAATGTGAAGGATCGGAGGTTAAGTGGAGGGCCAGGTACTTCCTCCTTCCCATTCAGCTCTGACCTCCTACTGCTGCCCTGTCCAATGGCATTTTCAAATTTATTTTCATTTTCTTTGGTTCATCTCTTGGGTTATGAATATTACAATATCTTTTGGGCTGTGATTATCTATTTCACTCTTTTTATTTATTCTTTTTTTTTTTTTTTTAATCAGACCAAATTTTTCCTTCACTGGAAAAATATACTGTCCTCACTCCCTCTTCCCCATTCCTACTTCATTGCATCCCCAATTATGCTCTTTGCATGGCAAAAAGCTAACTTTGAGCAATAGAGTAACAAATCAAGTATCTTTTAATAAAATCCAGTAAAAATATCCACACACATTGGTCCCACTTAAAGCAAAGATGTCCAAATGTTTAGCTAGATACACCTGAAGCCAAGCTGTGTGAACCTTAGAAAAAAGAACTATTACCATCAGTTTTCCTTCTGCTTTTTCGGATAGGTTAGGATTATAATTTATTCCCCAGACATCAGAACACAAAGAAAGTATGTTTTACAGACTTTCTCTTACTTTTTCTAAATTTATAACTTTGCATATGTTTCCTTAGAGTCTTATGGAATTGCCTTAAAAATCAATGGTTCTCTCAAAAGATGATTTTTTTTCACTTCGCTTCTACAGTGTTACTCCATCTCTCACATTTTTTTCCTCAAACGCTGAGCTGGGAGTTTACTGACCCTCTTCTCTGATGTAGGAGGGCTAGCTTTTTAAAATAATTACCAGTAGAACTACAAAAAATGTGAATGACACATTGAAACTTAAAACATAAAAAATGTTTACAGCTACAACTTTATGCATTGGATCTTAGTTTAAGTATGTTCATTATTGCACCGGGTTTTTCATTTAGTACGAACCTAAACAGTGTAACACTTTTTACTCCCTTCTTTTGCAAGATTTGTTCAGGTAGAGAAATCTGGTGAAATGTGTAAATTATTGGAAAAAAAGACAATGATATATTGATGAACAGTCCCTTTCCATCTTAACTTTATACCCAAATACTGAACTTTAATAGGCACTTCAGAATTTGGGGAATTTATACCTTTTTGAATGAGAAATTTTGAGATTAGAATATTGGAAAAACAATCTAGAAATAAGAAAAAATTTCTTAAATTAAGTGTATTCATCCTTAATTTGAGTAGGTAAATGAGATGATTTGCCAATCGAATGAGTGTTTTTACTCTTAAAATAAGATAATTAGATAAAATGCACTTGAAATAAGAAAATGCAATAGTGTTTTCTTATTTTCAGTCTAAATTGTCTTGTTCCATTGGCAAATGTCTCTTTTACCTCCTCATTCCAAGAACAAATACTCTTATTTTAAGAAAAACTGACTGATCTAGATGTTGATTTTTTTTCCAGTGCACTGCCTTCACCTTCCAAAATAGATTAGAAATGAATCAGAAACTGTGAGCTACAAAGTCTTAACTTATCTCCATATATTTCTGTGTATCTTAAACTGTTAATAACCTGCATGGTGCTAAAAATGTGTCTGGTTGTTGACACATTAGCAGCTTTTTATCAGCCCAAGCATTTTATCGCCAATGTATGAGCAGTCAGCTAAAAGCGAGGTATATTCGTCAGCTGTTCACATTAGCATGTCCTCCCTACATCACCCACACATCACCTCATTACTCTGATTTTTTTTTCTTTCCCAAAATCTAACCCTTCTTTTGTTCCTGGCAGTGCCCTCTGCTAGCATGACCCGCCTCGCTCGCTCCAGGACGGCCTCCCTGACCAGTGCCGGCTCTGTGGAGGGCTCCCGCTCCCGGGCCTGCACCAACTCCGACAGCGCTGAGGGGGTGGGCGCTGTCTCCCAGACCATGGAGGTTTCCTGCTGAGGAGCCCCAGAGAAAGGGGAGGAAGAAGGGTAGTAGAGGGGTGGAGAGGGATGAAAAAGGATCCAAAATAAGGCTTGATGATGAGCATTAGCTGACATCTTTCTCTCTCTCTCTGTCTTTATCTTTGTCTGCCATCTCCTTCCCACTGTCACTGTAAAATACCATCTGTACTGCTTCAGTCACACCCAACAGACCTTTGAATATCCACCCAGACTCCCCCTTGTCCCACACTTAAAGATTTAAACTGCTGGTTTTGCTCTTGAAGTGTCATTCTTGTGTTTGCTGAGTGTTCCTCATTAAATATATGCCCTTACCCCCCCTACGCCTAAAAAAACACACACTTATACAAACAACACTTTTGTGTAATTAAAAAGCTTCTGTTAAGATTTGATCAAAAGGCAACAATGAGAATGATAGTCTTTGGGGGTGCCACAAAGGTTAATGAGTGACAACAGATAAATGCATGTGGATCTTGGAAAATAGTTGATGTCATTTGTGAGAAACTGGGAGCATCTCTCTCTGCAGTGCTTGGAAGGATGCTGATCTCTTGCCACGAGTAGACGGTCGAAAACGAAACGGCGGGTCCAGAGTCAGACAGATGGCATCACGTTGTCTTATTATAGCCAAGTTCACCTGTAGATCTTAGACATGATGTGTTAGTATATATCAGCGCCCAGTTAGAGTAGAGCATGCTGAATTGAAGCTGCACTTAGCCTGAATTGATAACAATATAAAATACCAGAAGGTGATGTCATCATCTTATTCAACCTGCCGCTGAATATTTGCTTTTCCCTTAGAAAATAAAAGCACAGGCATTTTTTTTTTTCACCTTGGATCCTGGAATTGAAGCAGATGTTTGTATTTTAGTTTAAATACTTGCAGTGAGTTATGGTGGAAGTGTTTGGAATAAGACATTTTTATGCAGGATGACAATCTGGAGCTGCGTGGTCTCATGTGAGGCTAGGAAACGCAGTTTCTGAGAAATGTGCATTTTTACCTTACAGGAAGGTAAAAAGACTTTTAGTTTTAGATGCTTTTAGTTGTATTTTATTTATTTTTTTAGTTGTATTAGGCTTATTTTTCTGGGCTTCTTGAGGAAGGTTAAAGCTACACATTTCTTAGAAATTATTTAGCTCATTTAAGCTGTTTTGAGTAGAACTCTTTAATTAAAGGATTTTTTTATTATTATTTCAGTTCAATGATGGCCATACTGTGCCAGAAAATGTATAAACATTTTTAACTTTATGTTTATTTTTGTAATAAATACCTCAAAAATGTATTGCGGTTTGAGATAGCTCGAGAATTTATTGAAGGTTGAAAATTTAAGTTTCTTAGCTGGTAAACTGTAAAGTTTTTTTTTTAGGGTTTAACTTTGGATTTTAAAGCTATTCTCTGTCTAAGAAAAAATGCACCAAACAATCAAAAGCAGCTTAGAATCAGAAGCAGTTTTGCTCGGTGGGCTAAATGTCTTTATTTTACAACCCTTTTTAATAACTGCATCACAATTACAAATTAACAATTACCTTATTTCTCATAAAGGCTCTTTGATGCACTTTTTCTTTAGCTCAATGATAATCAGATGAAGCTAGAGGCTTTTTTCATGCATAAGCGAAGGCTCATCTTTTTATTTTTGCTGTTTGTAGGATTTAAAACTACTACCTCTATCAAAAAATTAGAGTATATTTCTTCTCTTCTGTTTATAACAGTTGTTATTATTAGTTAGAATAAGAAATAATAGGCCAGGAAAAGCCTGATATGTGTTTCTCTGTGCTAAAATGACCAAGGCGAAGCTCTTTCTTTATAGTAACGAGCCAAGCAGGTGAGCATAACCACTGTTGGTATTAAAATATTCAGCTGTTAAAGCGAAAATTGCCTCTAATACAGTGACTGGCTGAGTGCGGCTTTAAGATGTGCATACTGTAGGTTAGCTCACGTTAGAGACAATCTGCCACATAAACATTGTGTCATGGTGTTTACTTACACATGCTGCATGCCAATGTATTTCTTAGGACATTCCTGTGTAACTAGTATGTAATAATAGGACTATTGTCATTAGGCTAAATAGATGGATGTTTAGAGTCATAGATGCATCGCCCATCAGTGAAGGTTTAAGGAACCAAGGTACGACTGGGTCGAACCCGGCCAGCACCAAAGAACTTCCCTTACAGCGCTCAGCCCTTTTGCGTGGATATACCAAAGCTACACCCTTTAAAGGTACACTCTCCACACACTAGCACACATTTTCACTCATTTACTGAAAACAAAGATGCGTGGGCTGGGTTTTGTGATGGAACGGCGCCAAAGATACAACTGAAACACTCAAAATTCACACAAACGAAGAAGTTCATCGCTTTATGGTCAGTGAGTTATTTGGTATTTAATGTCTAGGTAATCACACTAGTTTAGCGCTTTCTAGTGGACATATAAATATAAGAGTAGTTTGTGACTAGAGAAGAAACGTGCTGTCATCTGCTGTAAACTCGGACTCAGTCCAAACATGGCGCTCCCTGGTTTTTCTAGCTGCTTTGATGTCCAGTATTCATGTGCCGACGCATCACCTGTTACTGGTTTCAGTTTTTTTTTAGGAATCTGAAACAAGACATTTCATTCCCCTTTAGGAAGGGGCGTAGCTACCAAACACTGAGGTGTGCGTTCCCCTCAGGCGGCCTGCAAGAGGCGGGGCTTTTTTGGCGCCATTTGGGCTCCAAGCTCGGAATGTAGGGCAACCCCCAACCACCTTAAAAAAAAAAAAAAATATCCCCTTTCCCTCAAAAAAATCACAAGGTGCCCCGACTCTCACAGGCAAGCCTAGCCGCACCCTAAAGGGCTATCAGCTGAAGTCACTTTTCAAGAGTGTTGCAGTAACTGTTCAGGACCACCAGGGGGAAATGGGGAGCATGAAGAGAGTAGTGCAGAACAGAGAGAGATGCTGCCCTGAAATATAGATGAATGAATGTTAAAGGAAAAGAATGTGAATCTGTTAACGCATGAAAGCTTAACTGTTGTTGATATATCAAAAGTATAAATTGAAATAAAGATGGAGAAAGAGATCGGGTTAAAACACTCTGCGAGGAAATTTTCTAACATTTGAGGCTGCATGTAGCAGAGGTCTTGTTCAGTCTTTTTTTCAGTGTTCCTTCTCACCACAAAAAGCTATTTTCTGCCATCTTACACTCTGATTTCCTCCCACACAACTTTCGACCCACACTGCCTGGGGGCCTCCTGAATGTATCTTGTCCCTTTTTTGAAGTGCTGTACGGTTTCGTCATTCTACACGTCAATCTCACCATTTGCACTTCTTCTCTGTGCCCCCTCATCTGTTTTAACCCTGAACATGTAAACAGCAGCTCTTTCCTCCATCCTCCTCTCCAGAGGTCTTGAAACAGAAACGCACGCCGGCGCGGCTTCCTCTCGGCTGCTCATTGGATCGCTTTGTTTAGACCTCCTTGCTCGTACAGAAACTTTTTATTTCCAGAGCGGGTTACCATTACCAGACACTAATAATACTGTAATGTGAGAAAGCATACTTCTGTTTCTCTCCCCTGAGTTTTTTTATAGTTAACTGTAGGGTGTAACCTCATCTTGGTATAATGATCTTGATTAACGTGTTACGACGACTCTTATGCTTCTACTTACTGCCATTATTATTGATTTGTATGAAGCAATAAGGTCTTTTTTTCTTGTTTGTTTTCGTATGTGGGAGCCTTCCCTATTAACTCGTTTCTATTCACAACAGTAGAAAGACTCTTACCTGCTTTGTCGTCATTCTGATGTGTAATGTAAAATTGAAATATAATATATATATACTATATAAATACAAAATTAGCTGTCTCTGTCTGTGTACTGGTCAAGTAACAACAAATAAAGACTTAATGTTAGAATTTCAGAAGTTGTGTGATATTTTTTCATATATTTTGTAGACATCAGCTTAAAACAATCTAGGTCTAGTTGGATAATCCAGCTGTTCTATAAAGGCATCGGGAAAACAGATAACAGAATGTAAATCCCTTTAATTTCCCACAAAAGGGAAATTTACTCCCTGCATTTTGACCCTTCCCCTTTGGGGAGCAGTAGGCTGCCATTGTGTGGCGCCCGGGAAGCAGCGTGGAGTTAAGGGTTTTGCTCAGGAATGCAGAATGGAGGCTGTGGGGATCAAACTGGGTACTGGCAAACTTCTGTGAGCACAAGCGGACTGCTCTAACCACTAGGCCAACACTCCCCTTGGCTGATACATTATGAAGGCACAGCCACAATGACTATGTTGTGAAGAAGTTTAAAGCAATGTTCCTAATTGTAAAGATATCTAAGAGCACTGCTCAACCTATCATCAGGAATAAGAAAATGTTAAATCTTTTTGTAATGTGGTTTGGGCCACTGTATATTAAACTCCTTTAGAGTGGGATTGAGCAATATGAATAATATAATCAACATTCAAATTTATAATTATGGGAGACAAAGTATCCCATAAAAATGACTTTAAATTTAATGGTTATGACTTTAAAATGTCGAAATTATGTTTAAATCCCATAAATATGACATATCATGCGCCATGTTTTTTAATTTTGCTTTGCTTTTACTTTTAAATTTTGGTCATTTAAGACACTGACTTTCTCACTCCATTACTTGAGGCGGAGGTGAAATCCTTAAAGTGGGTTTGATCTCACACACATAGGTAGGGGGATCATGCAGTTCCATATACTATGGTAGCTAGAGATCAACAGTTTTCCACACAGCAGTAACAGTAATTTAATTCAGTTTATTTATATAGCGCCAATTCACAACACATGTCATCTCAAGCCAGTTTACAGAGATAATTCAATCAGATCATCCAGTCAGATTGGTTCAAAGAGTAAAAGGATAACCAGCTGATTGCATCGACTCAGTCAACTGAAAGCAATTCCTCATGCCAAACATGCTTGTAGCGACAGTGGAGAGGAAAACTCCCTTTTAACAGAAAGAAACCTGCAGAACTAGACTTGGTGTGATAGGCCATCTGCGGAGGCTGACTAGGGTTCAAGGTGATAGAAGTAGACATAAACAAAGGTGTTGATTGATTGCTGCACAGCTGATATTTCTCATTTGGATTATGTCAGAGCCACATGGGAACAAACCAGATGAAGCTGCTATGATGAGGAAAAGCAGCGAGAGAATAAAGTTAGAAGTTAATCTAACAAATAGTCCAGAACGGTAAAATAGAGATAGAATGAAGCAGAATGATGAAAAGTGGTCTCTATGTCCTCCAGCAGGCTAAGCCTATAGCAGCATGACTTTAGAGATAGCTCAGGATAACCTCAGTCACTCTAGCTATAAGCTTTATTAAAGAGGAAAGTTTTAACCTAAGTAGACAAAAGTAGACAGGGTGTCTGCCTCACGGACTAAAACTGGTAGTTGGTTCCACAGGAGAGGAGCCTGAGAACTAAGTACCAGTAAATTCCTAAAACAATGTACTCTAGACAAAGAAGCCTTCAAGGTCATGAAAACTATGTAAAAAATTACATTGGAATTAGAATTTTGGTTTTAATTTTTTTGCAAGTAGATACTGCTGTAGGTATGAGTTGGAGTCTATTAACAATTCATATCATCGAGGGCAGAGATCATTATGCATGACAAAATATTTGAGTTGATATTTGAAAAATATACTAACATCTGATCTGTAGCATTTAAAATAATTTGACAGAAGCTGAGGATGGTTTATGAAACTGGAAGCAGAATTGAATATGTTTATTGTAGAACAATTATAAGAAAAAAAATCTGACATAAGCAAACACTCATTTTACAGGAGCTAAACATTTTCTGGCATTTATTTATTAATGGGAACATTACTGCTTTGATTATCTTGTTAATAAGTAAAAGAGTTGCCACCTGACTGAAACAAGACCTTGTAAGAGGCCATTTGAGCATCACAGTATGCATGCAACATCTGGTCGACCGGGCTGTAGTTTAAGAACAGAAGGTTAGCAGCAACCTTATTTATAAAGATGCCAACGTTGAAATTCTCCTCCCCTGTTGTTGTGTCGAAAGAATAGAAGATCTCCTCTATGTTCTTATTGACGAAGCGCGTGGCGTAGAGGACCCCACAGGCCATGAAGGTGTTGGTCACACTTCGCTTGTAAACTGAAGTCCGCCAGGTTTTGCCAAGCTTCGGTGGTTCGCTCTCTTCCACTTTGGATACAAGCAGGTTCCCAAAGTCCTGAGTGGTGCTGTAGACCACCCAGACCCCTGACTCGTCCGTGGCCAAGTCCAGGTCGGTGTAAAGGTAGCATTCCTCAAGGTTGCAGAAATCTCCTTTTGAGTTATACCTGGTAAACATAAAGTAAAGGTAATATTTCCTATATTATGTAAAATACGTTTAGATATATGTATATATTATCCACACATATGAGTGGGATTAATGTGCCACAAGGGAATTTTTGTGGTCAGATGTACAAAATATCAAAATAAACACATGTGGGACCAACATTCTGGTTAGTACGTCAATGGATAGACAGTTTTTGCAGTCTGTCTAGGTAATTTTTCTTTTGAATTTAAGAATACACAGTATAAATTAGAGAGTATTATGGATATAAATTAGAGTTACAATTATTTCCCTCTAAAAGAGTAATGTTTATTAATTTTGGAGTGTATTTACTTTCAGAGCAGTCACCAGAGCAGGAGGAAAAAAATAGAGTAAATCATATTGGAGTAATATTAAGACCACGCCCCCTAATGCTCCTTGCGTTTGGTGGAGGGTCAAGGCTAAGACGGATTTTGCATGGTAAGTCAGCAAAGTACATAAAAATCGATTTAATTCGACTTTAAAATGTCAGAAGAATTTTGATAGCTTACTTTGAAGATCATTTTTCTGAGTAGCATTTTTCTGAGTTGCATCCTATAGGGCAGGGGTAACCAATTAAAAATCAGTGAATAAAGAAAATCATCAACCAGTTAAGATCCGAAGATAATTTTTTAACTACAATCTGTTACTCTAAGCAGAATTTAACACTGAAATAAAAAGCAGGTTTTTATGCATCCATGTTATATATTGAATAAAAAAATAAAAAAATAAAGTTTAAAAATTTTTGAAGTAGAGAACAACAATTCTTCATTTCGGTATACAGACAATTTCCTGATTCACATACTTTATAAAACACCTGAACTGACTGTTTTTGTTGTTGTTTTTTTTATTTTTGTGGCTTAATGACAGCAGTGGGCTTTAGGCTGACCTGCAAGGCTTTAAACCTGGGTTTAACCAGAGACTAAGCCATTCTCAAGCACATATCAAGGAGTTCATTTTGAGCCTGGATCCAGATTTATTGTTGATTCTGTTCATGGTGGAGAATCCTGCTTCACAGCAGCAGGTTGAGCCAAACATCCTCTAAATGTGCAGGGTCATCTTTGAGCACGCCATTTCACTTTTCTTTCACCAGTTCACCGCAGTTCTTCCAGCAGTCCACACTTTCTCTGCTCTCATTTTCTAATCGTTTTCTCCTTCTTTCCCATCACCCGGCTTGCCACAGGTTTGCCTGCTGTGTCCAAAAGTAGCAGCAGCAGCAGCCCTTCCTGACAGCAGCTCATTGGCTCATTTCTATCACCATTTGTATAATTTGTAGCCCGCTAATCCGTGACCTCTGCTAAGGATAAAAATATCCTCTGGTGTCCTACAATGGGGGAATTCAGGCTTAGCAAAGTGAAACACAAATACAGAAAAACACACAACCTTTAAGTAAAAGGTTTAAGGAAACACTGATTATAAAGAAATGTTGGAAGATTTTCCACATTCATGATCAACTTCACGCACACTTCAAGGCAACAATAATATTTTTATAAACAAGCTATTTTTCGGGGAGTAATCGGTCATTTTCATGCACAGCTTTGATACGAGTCGAGCACCAACCTGGTTCCTTTAGGTAAATCTAAGGTGGTCACCGTCTTGGATGTAAGGTTGAATCGACAAACAGAGTCTTTGTTGTAACAGTTATAGTACAAGGCTCCCGCATACAGAACAACGTTTGGGCCTTGGATGGTGTTGGTGGTTGGGTTGGACGGGTGGATTTGGACATTTCCTGAAGAAAAAGAAGAAAAGTAATAAAGTAAAAAAACAAACAAAACAACTCTGTCTGTAAAATCCTTTTTAAAAATATTCTATTACTTGCCTCATTTTACGTTAACTAAAGGTAAATAATAAGGCTTTTATAAATCATACACACTTTTTTCTTGGTGTGATAAGTGGACATATCTCTTCAACCTCAGAATTTAGGAAAACTGACATAGAGACATGAAATCCTTATATTTCATGTCAGTTCCCTCTGATACACTTTAAATTCATAAACTACCAAACCCTGCTGCTTTCTCTGGATGGTGATTTAATAAGAGTTGTTGTTTTCCGAAAGCTCACTGAATAATTTTGCTAGAATTGTCCTAACACAGGTGAGCATACTCATAATACAGTGTTTAAACAGATATTATAACAAAAAAATCAATTATCTGAGACAAATTCATAGTCTTCTACTACACAACGTCTACCATTTATTTCTGCTTATACAAATAGTGTACCCGATGTTTGGGTTCCCACCTGGAACACTGATCCCAACGATAAGAGAGCTCAGACTAGAGTAGAGACGGACGTAATGGGCGTATCGGTTGCTGGACGTCAACATCACCCTCCAGTACCAGCTCTCTTTCCCCGGCTCCGGTTTGGGATCCCGACCCCAGCCTCCAAACTTGAATGAGCCGGCATATTCTCCAGCTGTTTGGACCCTGGGTCCGGTGATGTTGAGGAACTTACCTAAAGGACAGGTACCTTGGAGAACAAAGGAAGACATCAAACATACGTATGAAGGGATGGTTTTAAAAATCCAGTTTAAGAAAATTCTACTCTTCAGCTAAAAAAATTGTCATTTTTTATGATACAACAAACAATGTAAGGATTAGTTTGTTTCTCTGAGTTTTAGGACTCACCCGTAGGTTGAGTGGGTTGGGTGGTGGGGTGAACTCCATTGTTTTTGCACCTGTCCAGGTCTCTCTTTAGGCGCTGGTTGGCTTGTTGTCTCTTCACCACCTGCATGGTGTCAAATGCTTCCAGCTCCTCCATCTCTTTCTTTACATCCTCCAGCTAAAGAAAATAACACTGTTAGCATAAATTGGTAATTTGGTGTAGCTCATGTTCTGTAGATACATGTATACACTACATAAGATTATCCAAATGTACCTGCTGAGCCATGTTTTCACTCAGGTTCTTGTTTTCTTTGGTGCTGCTATTGAGCCTATCTATCAGCTGCTGGATTTCCACGATTTCGTTCTCGATGATTTGAAGACTCAGAGCTCCAAACAGTTTTCCATCATCCTCATTTTCCAAAATGGCCACGTCCTTCTCTAGCTGCAGCAGGCGCCGATCAAGGCCCAGCATCAGGCCGTCTAAGGTGGAAGACTGTGGAAACAGCAGTGGTCATACAGTGCATTAATACAGGCACACACACTGCAAAACCACAAAGTCTTATTTATTTTACTTTCATTTCAAGTCAAAACCTCCTGTTACACTTGAAAGAACTAAACCATCTACAGAGATTCATTTAAGTGAAATATAACAACTTGTTGAAGGACAACTGGACAACATTTTCATAATCTTGTTGTACGTTTCTCCTACTTTTTCTCCTACCATGGGCTTATACGAATGGAACACATCAGATTCAAACAAACTTTCTTAACTTGAATAAATTTTCATAAATAATCCTTGTAAACGTGATGCAGTTCACCCATGTGTAAGTTGCTGAAATGAAATGAAAAACTGCAAATCTGCATAATTAACACCCAAAAAAAAGCCATAAAATGCTAAGTATAAGTTGGAGGGCTACAACTTCCCACGCTTGTCAGAAGGTGTGTGTTCATAAAAATGGCACTGAAGACGAAGAAGGAAAACATTACAGGTTGGAAGGTGGAGGATCTGATAAGAGCTGTAAATAATGTGCTTGGACTGTTACAGAATTAAAAATAAGAAGAAAATAAGAATAAGATAAAAAAAAAAAAAATTAAACCCGAAAACAATCAGTGAAAACTACTCATAGGGGCAAGGAGTGCAACATATGATTTAAATGCTTAACATGATTTCACCATCAACCAACACGACAATATTCTGCTAAATCTCCTTTTAATGTAAACATGTACTGTACATCCCCAAACCAAATCTTCTCTCTCCTGCACTCTCATATATTGCATAACAAAAATGTTAAAAGCCAAACTCTAAAGTGATGAATTTAGACAGACCCAAACCCAAATATTTCACATATTATGTAATAATAAGTCAAGTAGCTGCATGTTACCATGTTGCTGAACTTTCTGTCCATTTTCTGATCCAGATGTTATTTCAACAGCAGCTTGATCTCTGACTGTTATTTCTTTTGACGAACTGACAATAAATTAAACCAATGTCCCGTGCATACTAACATTTCAGCTGCAGGGGTAGTGACAGATATGTTCGGGTCATCAGCAAATAAAAATGTAATTTATAATTGTAGCGTTGCATTATAAATGCACCCTAAATGCTCCAGGGAGCGTTATCACAGATCCTTCCTCCCATGCAGCTGTAAGACTTTATAACCTTCACTGTTCCCAACAACCTCAATAAGTTTTAAAATTGATGCTGATAATTTTCAGTTTCTGTTTATTTTTAACATGCTGCTGTCATTTTTCACATGTCTTATGTTGCTGCTATTTTCACATTTCTACTACTGTAAAAATGTCCACAGCTGTATATTATTTATTCTTCTAGTGATTGCACTGTATGTTTTTTTTGTAAAAACATTGTGCAGTACAGTATTTTATTTCGTTAACTTTTTTTTTTTAAATTTTTTTAAATTTGTATGTACAAATTTGTATGAACGTTTTTGCTGTATTGCTGCTGTAGCACCAACGTTTTACCATTGTGGGACAATAAAGGGATTTTCAATTGTATACTATAGACTGATGTAGCCTAATAACATGGAAAATTCATTCTAAGTAAAAACAAATTTAGTCATTAAGTAAAAAAAACTCTGGATAAAAGCTGACTGATTGCACAAGAGTCCCAGGTCACATCTGGAGCAGTCGTAAAATGTGTTCATAATTGAGAGGAGATTAAAATAGGAGAAAAATGGTGAATGCAACATTTCCACCTAAATCACTTGTACAGACAATTTCAGGATGAATTGGTGCGTATGAACAGTTCTCGCATGAGACTAAATGCATCTAGAAAGTCTTGATGAGTAAAATAGTCTTTAAAAAATGGACATTTCACAAGAGTTTGAAGTTTTTGGAGGGGGGTTTATTTTGTATCAATAAAAGGAGTACACTTGAATTAAGACAAACCAACTTTTTAACTGCATAAAAACAACATTCTCAGTTTACAGCTCGTTATAAAGCATGTGGCTGTTTTTCATCCATTTCCATCAAACCTAAAATAAAATCTAAAATATCTTAGATTCTATTAATTTTTAACCTGGAGAGATTCCACCAAATTATGTCAAATAACAATTAGTACAAAAACTCTCCAACAGTAATTGGAACAGAATAAAAAAATTGCTTGGTCAAAACACCTCACAATTGATTTCATAATTACATTTGATCATATCTGAGAGATCGTACTTTACTGGAATGTACTTGGTTTTAATAATAAACATTTACATTTGCTGTGTAATTAATAAGATGGTCAGCATGTATGAAAACATTGGCTTCAGCTAAGCTGGAAATTTGGGCTTCATGTTGAATATTCCAAACAACTGTAGAAAGAGACTGAATTTAAAAACTATATCTTGATGAATTTACAATATATAAAACATTTTTCACAATATTGGTGACGTTCAAAATAACCAAAGATCGTCCACATATATACCTGTTTCCATATGGTGTAATCTAACGTACTAAAGCCATATGTTAAAGGTTTTTCATATTATTCTTGGTTAAAGAGAAAAAAAAAATAAAACGTTTATGAACAGATATCTGCTCAAATTCAGGAAAAAATACAATTAAGAAAATTTGAAATCTTGTTTTAATGAAGGTTTCACACATCGATAGTGTGAAAGGGTGCCGCAGCCGGTGTGTATGTACATACAACTCTATGTATGTGTATATGCATACTGTGCATTTAATTTGGCATTTCAGTGTTTGTACATATACCTTTAGATATTCAATAAGTTTTTTTTGTTTTGTTGATTCTATCCATATTTTCTATGTATCCTGGGCCTACGTAGCATAACATGCCACTGGTTGGCATGCCACAAATACTTTCATTATGTGTATAAATCCCTATTTCATATAGTTTGTTTTGTTTCTGTTTAATTGAAAATCTTTAAATAAAGAATTGGAAAAAAAAAAGTTTCACACCTGAATCTAGACCATTGTCAAAATTATGTTACTGAGAATTCTGCTTCATCTCAAGCTTTTTATGATCTATAAGCTCTCCATTGTAGTGAATTTTAGTCAAACTTTGTTTTTGTGGCTAGTTTTAATAATTATTTTCCAACGTCAAAGTTCCTATTTTTAAAAATGTTGTCAAGCTTTTTTTTTACTTGCTCTATTGGCAGATTTTTTATTTTTTTTTGCATGTTTTTGTAGTGCCATGTTTACCAGTGCAGTTGATAAAAATCAATGAATGTTACAAGACTGGCCTACCTACCTTCTGTGGAGTGATGTTGTTTGTGCATCTTGAAGCTCTGTCCTGGGCTATTTCCAGCTTATCATATGGAAAAGGTTTCTCCGAGTTGATTAACTCGCACAGACAGTTATCTGATGGAGATTTCTGAAATAATAATGTATATAAAGCCAGCATGAACTTCACAAAAATAAAATGTACAAATCATGCAGTAAAAAACACACACGGCGGTATTTTACCTGGTGGGTATTGGTGAACAGAGCCCACAGAGGAAGGATTACATACAGCTTCATGGTGCATCAGAGAGCACATCAGACTGACTTTGAAAGCAGGCTGACTGCAGCAACAACAGCTATTTCATGAACACTCCCACAGATTTCTGCACGAGCTGCAGGGGATTTGCGTTATTGCAGGGTTTCACTTCCTTTTCTGCTTTTGGGATTGCGGCAAAGTGGAGTTTCATTGTTTGACTTGTTGATATCGTTGTCAGCAAAAAGCCAGATGGGTGTAACTAATGCTGTTAGTGCACCACTATAAGAATTCATGTGCAAATCTTTTTATTCCTGGGAAAATCCCCTGCTTTTAAAATACACCATGTTGCAACGCCCTAATAGAAAATATGTTTTATCTTATAATGTTTTATTTTTAAAAGATAATAGAAAGTTCATTAATTTTTATCTAATCTATCTCTATTAAATGTTATTTTTTAGTGTGCATTTTAGCACCTTCAATATAAAACAATGAATAAATTATACTTAAGAGAAAATAGCTTTAAACTTAGTGTATATTATGACCAAAACTCAAATTTTGGATAGTTAGATATTTCCAAAAAAGGAAAAGAAAGAACAATACACCATTTAACTTTTTGTCCTTTTTTTCGATGCTAAAACTAAACAATCTTTGCAATTTTTCAAAAATGTTTTAAGAACTTTATGTGATCGACGAACTCCAAGTCTTTAAATTGGGAGAAAAAATTTTTCTGTCTGAGGGAAAATTCTGTTGAATTCATTGGAAACTTGCTGTGATCCCAGCCTGGAGTCTCCTTCCACAAAGTTTGCATCTTCTCACTCTCAGCTTACGCTATTAAAAAATGTTTTGATAACTATGGTTTAAAATAAATACACAAGCAAATACTTGACACATTGAACAGGTAGCCATAATGATGATTTATATATATATATACATCAAATTAAAGAGGATACAGATGCAAATATAGTTCACGATGAGAATCCTTGGATAATTCAGATGGGTTGGCAATCTGTTTTGCACAATAATAACACAGTAACGCAGAGTAAAATGAAACAATTATCTTACAGATTTTGCACTGAAAAGGCCCCCCACATTTTACTAAATTTATCACGAGTGCCAAGTTTATTTATTCAAAGTTTTTCCATTTGTTGGACAAAAAGCATCACGTTCAGCCAGGGATCAAAGCCTGGTTGGGTGGCAGACTTCCAAGTCAATAGGATCAACAACTGATGTGCCTCTGAGGAACTATTGCTACGTTTGGGCTGGTACAAAGTCACAGGAATATGTTCTGGAGACCCACTGAAAGATTGCAGGACAGAATCTGACTTTGCTTGGATTATCTCTGGGTACTCCTGGTTCCTCACTAACCTGAAAACAGGACTTCATGGAGGAATGGTGGCCCAAAGGTTTGAGAGCAGGACATGCAACCCAGAGCGACTGCAACATTTCTGGGCCACACTTCAGACTGTCATTCTAGGTCCATGATCAACAGCCCTGATCCCACACTCTCCCTGAGTGCAACTAATGTACAACTGCAATGAAAAAATGATGATTAGGTGATTATTATCAAAAGGAAGAGTCAAGAAATTACTCAATCACCGGGGGAAAAAAGGGAAATGGGCAACTCCCTAGATTTTAAGTATTAAATAGTTTCTTATCAATTTAAAATATATCAAGATCCTGTGGTGAGGATGTGCAACAATATCAAAGAAGCATTTCATTTAGTGATGTAGATAAATAAATGTCCTAAACCTTTAGCACAGACTGCTGAAGGAAGCAAACAATTTTAGCATAAAATCTGTACACAGCAGAAATCCATGCATGTAATGCAGTGAGTTGAATGGTTGATGTGTTTGGTTCAAGGTTTCCAACCTGGTCACACGTCACAACGAACTCATAGATGCATACTGATCTCAGGATGAGTTTATAAATCAGGGGTGTATAAAGTAACCTAAAAAAACAAACAAACTGAGTAAAATACCTTAACATGAAATCACTTTGGAAGAAGTTAAAGTCAGTCATAAGGAAAGTAAGAAATTAAAAGTCAAAATCTATTCTCAATTACTGGAAAAGTACGTATTAATTATTTTTGTACATAAAAGAAGCAAGAACATTTTTTGGTTGGCTGTTTTAATGCAATCTGGTAAAGACATTGGGAGGAGAATTTGTTTAAAACCTGATTTAGTCCTAAGAAAACATTATTTTAAACATAAGTACATCCATCCCCAGCTGTTCTATCTGCCTGAGAAAACTATTAAACGTTCTAAAAAAACACGAGGAAATGTTTCCACTCCGTCTCAGAGGGACAATAAAAACTAAAAACCATTTTATTAAAATAACTTACAAGCAAAACAACATAAGTTTTGTCAGGTTTATTTGATGATGATTATCAGAGATGGGAAGTAACAAAGTACAAATACTTTGTTACTGTACTCAAGTAGATTTTTCTGATATTTTTACTTTACTTTACTACTTATTTTTATGGCGACTTTTTACTTCTTCTCCTTACATTTTTACACAAATATCTGTACTTTCTACTCCTTACATTTTAAAAATTGGCTCGTTACTTTAGTTTTGAATCATTTCAATGGAGTTACCGTTATTATTTTTCACGTCATCAATACCAAATTCAATCTAATTGGATGGGAATCTACGTTGCATTTGACGCACCACTACAAGATGAATGGACAGATTCGGCGGTATTCATTGGCGGCAAATCATTGCAGCTTGGTGGCGGTGGCGTTAGCATAGTAGCATGGACGACGAGATGATTGAAAATGAACACAACGGAGATCTAGTCCTATTGGCAGACATCCATTTAAAATGTAGGCAACGGCATGAAAAAAGTGGTTTCTACTTTTACTTTTATACTTTAAGTAAATTTACAAGCCTGTACTTTGTTACTTTTACTTGAGTAAAGAAGTTTAATCAGTACTTCCACTTTTACCAGAGTATTTTTTAACACAAGTATCTGTACTTTTAATCAAGTACGGAAAGTAAGTACTTTTGCCATCTCTGATGATTATAAAATGAATGTGTGCTTATGAATCATTTGTGCAAGGGAGATGCTGCACTGTGTCTTGTGATGCAGTCAGGAGACCATCCTGCCTCGTGATTCTGGTGGAGCATCCTGTCTTTATGAACTGATCAATTGTTTTGTCAGAACAATACACTGTTTTGTAATCATGTGCTATGTTCTGTTAATAAAAGACGGCTGCAGGAGGGGATTCGGAGAAGGGAAGCTTGAAGTTGGGTTGGGCTTTTCCTTCCGCTCCTGCAGAAGCTGCTTGAATCTCTTTCCTGTGCAGACTCAATTTCTATCATTTAAAATCTACATTTCCTGAATCCAACAAGTTTCATTACACTTTCCAACTAATAATGCAAAATGGTTTAGCGCAGCTATTAGGACAATATTTAGAATGAAAGTCAGAGCTGTAAATTACTTTCTCACCTGCCAAAACAATAAATAAATAAAACAAATACACAGTAATTTTTTAAATTAGTTTACTCTTAAAAACTTTAACAATATGGTGCATTAGTCTACTATTCAGTAAGGAGAGTGAACCAGGACAAACAGAATACCGTTCTTCTTCTCTTGCTTACATGCAGATTTCAAATAAACAAATCCTGTCATGACATTGCTAATTGGAAACAAAATTGTTTCCAGCAGCAATGTCTCCAATTTTTAAGTAAAGTAAAAGTCCAATATCTATTTAACTTTTGTGGCAGAATAAAAGTCATGATTTTAAAAATTAACGGCTAATTAATTAAATGTAACAAAGTAAATGTACTTATTTACTATACATCTGGTATAAATAGTCAAATATGGTAGAAAAGAAAGCACACTCAGTGGTTAGACTGAAAAAAAACTGTAATATACATTCCTTCTTTATAAATTTCATCACGTTCCTAAAATAATTTAAAAAGCAGAATAAATAAAGGTTTAAAATCTCATCTGATGGACAGTTTAGATGATATTACATCAAAACATCTTATTTAGAGAAAGAAAATTAAAGACACAGTGTTGGAGCTATTAATTCATCAGGTCAGTGATGCGGATAAAGGACAGAAAGTGATTGTTTTGTATTTTTGTAAGGTAAAATTTTAAAGTTTAGTTCAAATGGATACCTCTTGCGTAAAACAAATGGGGAATTTGAAACTCATGAGCTTAACTCTGTAAAAGTAAAAAAATCCAGTGGATTGTTTTGTTTTTTAACTTTTACGGAATGACTACGACCTGGATGACTGAGAATCTTCATCAACATCCTGAGCTTAATGCAGCTGTCATGTGCAGCTGTTCCTGAGGCAGTTTCACATCCTTCATGGCTCATAAATAAGGAAGAAGAAAATCACAGGTAAGCAGCAATTTTTGCATTTTACTGTGAGTCTGTAAATATTCGTAAACAAACCTTAGGGCATTGCCCTAGATGATTTTTATTCAAATGCTGCCCTATTGACACAACTTACCCCACAATGACTCGTCCCCATAACTCACCGAAGTAATATCTCAGCGGTGCAAGTGAGACAAAACTGCTTTAGAAACTAGACCAATTTAATGGTATTTAAATCCATGATAACACTTGAGTTGTTATGTCAATTACCGCTAGCTAGTTTTACTTTTGAATAACTTCAGAAAAATATACAGAGTTAAAACCCAAAAATGTTGGCTAAGATGAGAGAAAATGTTGTGATCTGAAAGATAAATCTTGTCAAATCCTGTTAAATTTTTATAAATCAATGAAAAAATATCTACAATTATTAAACATCACTTAACTTTGAACTCTTAACACATTGAGACAAATAAATATGAAGTTGATTTCGATATAGAACTTTACTTTCTGTTTAAAAAGATAATACTAATTTAATAATTTAAAGTAAAATTTAGTTTTCAATTTAGTTTAATAATATTTATCTAGTTTTGAAAAGCCATGAAACCAAATCCTACATTTATCCAGACTTTTCAGTCTATGAAGGAATTCTGCGTTTTTAATGATAAACACTAACCGTTCTAACTTTAGCTCCTTAGCTAAGTCATTATCTACCC